TATTACTTGGCAGTGTAAAAGGTTGATAGGCTGGGCAATTCATGTCTAAACCAATGCAAATTCAGTATTATTTCTTTTTTTTTAAGATTTATTTTATTGAACTTTATTTTTCAGTTTGATCAGAGACAGACAGAGAAAGAGAGAGAGAGGGAAAGTGAGAAAGCGAGCCACCATGTCCGGGACTCGAACCACAGTAGGCCATGTGGGAGTCCAGTGCCCTTAACCACCACACCACCTGCCGGCCCCAGTATTATTTCAATATTACAAATCATGTCAAAACTGCTTTGAATTACAGAACTACACATTCTACCTGAATAGACTATACTTGCATTTAAACATTTTCTGGAAAAGTTTCTAACATAGATTTGAGTCAACTTAATTTCCTATCCCCTCATGAAAACCTCTGCAAATTATATGCAGTCAAATACTGAGTTTTCCTCTGAAACTAGTGCTAGACTAACCTTTCACAAAGAGTCATTGAGAATCTCGTAAAGTGCTACTAAGGGCTTCTTGATATACAAAAGTAAGCAGAGAAAAGTTTTGATGTCTTCAAAACTATAGCTAGATTTGGTATCAATATGTCAATAATGGCTACTGCTCTTTAAAGAGCAATCTTTAAATAGAGAGGACTTTCATAAAACATGATCCCAAAACCAATGACTTCAAAATTGCCCAATGGGCTTGTTAAAGAAGATTCCCTCAGACCCAACCCAGAACACTTGACATGAGGTTAGCTGGTAGTAATTCCCAGAAATCTTCATTTTGTCAAGATATCCAGGGGAGTCTAATGTTCTCTAAAGTTTGAGAAGCACTGATATGTGTGTGGTTTCTTGCCAAATAATACAAATGGACATAATAGATCATGATTGTCTCACCATATATTTTTCAAAGCAGGTATTATTTAGTGTCTGTTACACCCTCATAACAGGTCGTGGGTGAGGGAAGACAGTACAAAAATACAGTTAGGCAAGTGCTACCTGATACGGCAGCAGATATCACACCTGAGACATTAACCTGCAATGTATTAGGTTGTCAGAAAAGTCACAACATATTTTTCTATGCAAAAATGCATCATGACTTTTCCAACAACCCAACACATCTATTATCTGAATAGAGATTCAGGAAAATACAGGTATTTGCATCTTAGGTATAGGTAGGTTTGTAACCAGGATCTCTACAACAGTTGGCAGGGATCAGGAGGAGAGCTATGTGTGTGTGTTAAGCCTACACACACCTGTACAGCCTGAGCAATTGATAAATAATGACTAATTTTCCTACTGGGTAGTTACTAGCCATTTGCAGCCTGGATCCCTTCACCAACTTCTTTCAGCAAGAGTGAAAAGCCTACAACATGAGAAGAATGCAACCTGAATTTCCTACTTTATCGTCCTTATAAAATATTCACCAAAGTCTGCATTGCTCAGTAATGCTTTTGAAGCAAACTCAGTTCTGCAATCAGAGTAGATATAGGTAAAAAATAAAAGCTTCCTGCATGGATACTACAGCAGCCTGAGAGATGATAGGACAGCTGACATCTGGAGCCTGAATTAATCTAGAAATTCATTCATTTATTAGTTAATCATTCGTAACTTTCTAAAACTGTGCAAAAGGCAGTCATACAAATCAAACTAGAGTTTCAGGAATAAATGTTCTTGGTTATTTTAAAATATTAATTAGAAGAACCCTTGAAATTTCTTCATCTTTTTAAGGTCAACAGTTATCTTCAATTCAAAATAACCATAGTTTCTTTTAAATTTGTCTAATCTTTCTGATTCTTCCCCCATCTAGTGATGGCCATTTTTCATCCTAGGCAGATGATTATCTGATTCCAAGATATAATAGAAATGAAGATAGGATCATGAGGGCAAATAGTCCCTTTTACCTACTATGTCATTCAGGATGTGCTCAGTTGCATAATGAAATATTTTTAGTTCCACTTAGAGATAAGAGTAACGGGCTGGAGGTGGTGTGGTGATTAAGGCGATGGACTCCCACATGGCCGAATATGGCCTGGACCTGGACCTGGACTTGGTGGCTTGCTTTTTCACTTTCTCTCTCTCTCTGATCAAATGAAAAAATAATGAAATTATTTAAAAAATAAAGAAAGGAGTGATGAAGAGGACCATCTTATTACTATCTAAAGAAAATCTTACTTAAATGAAGTCCAATTCCTATTGCGTTATTGTTTAGCTAGAAGAAGGACTCAGGAGGGTTAGGAATTACACTTACAAGTACACATCTAAATACCTATTAGAGGCAATGAACTTGGCCTCAGAAACTTCCAAATGCCCCGTGCCTGTTGCTATCAACACCCACTTTTCTCTACCCATAAAATTTAGAAGAAAAAAAAAAGAGCAATGAAATATGAATTTCATGATACTCATTTAGTGACTACAAGATATTAGAAGAGGGACAATAAGTTATGAATTTAAGAACAGCCAATTTTGCAAAGTTCTATTTTAGGAAGTTATGTTTTCTAAGGAAATTATTTCACTTAAGTTTTCAATTATTAGGTTGTCACTAAGGTCATGATGTATTTTTCTGTCTTTCTATGCAATAAATGTATCATGACTTTCCAACAGCCCAATATAGTGTCTTAAGACCACTTACAGTGATTTTTTTTTTTTTATGAATCCACACTTATGTCACTTTCACATTGCTAATATTGGTCATTTGAATCTTCATCTTTTGTTCTCAAGCAAATTTACTAACGATTTTTCTATTTAAAATGTGTTTCAAAGACCAATTTTTTGTTTTGTTGATCCTTGCTATTCCTTTTGTTTTCCATTTTTATTCATTATCCTACATCTTTATTATGCTCTGTCTTCTATTTTTCTTTTGTGCAGTTCTTCTCTCATTTCTTTATTTAGACATATAAATCACTAGTTTTCCATCTTTAGTCTTTTGGAACATGAGCATTTAAAATCATATATCTTTCTCTTTGAAATGTTATACTTAATTGTGATTTGGTTCTAATTTCACTACAGTGTTGTCTTTAATCCACAAATTATTTAAAACCCTGTTTTTCAATTCCTAAATATAGTTTTATCATTGATTGCAAAATTATACTGTAATCAAAGAACATTTGTTTGAAATCAATTCTGACACTTGTTCAAAGTTGTTTTGTAGCCTGGTATTGGGTCAATTATAATAATGCTACATATGCTTAGAGTCTATTTGATTTTTCAGTTACTGAAGATTTACAAGTTACAACTCTTATGATACTGTTAATTTTTCTATTTATATTTTGGTGCTGTTGTTTATCAATATTGGGTGCATTCATCTTAATAAAATTTATATCTTCCTGTTAAATTGACTGTTGCAAGGCCAACAAATGGCATAGCAGTTATGTCACTGGAATCCCACATGGTGGACCATGGTTTGAGTCCCAGACCTGGTGGTTTCAAAATCATTCCAGGTGCATGTGTATGTATGCCCAAGATCCCAGGATAAAAATGGAGAAGGGATTGCAGCATTGCCATCCCATCAGAGGGTGATTTCTCACTTTCTCTTTCACTGATTCTCCCTCTCTCTCGCAAGTACATATGCCCTAAGGCAAAAACCTCTAAATTGAATGTTGTATTAGTATATATAAATTCACATATGTATGTGCATATATGTACACACATATGGACATGTATAAACCCTATATATAAAGATTGATTTATTAGGTCATTGGGAAAGTTATGATGTATTTTCCTAAGTTTTTATATGCAAAAATGCATCATGGCTTTCCCAATGACCCAATGTATACTATATATATAGATACGTTGCCCTTAAAAATGATTTTGCCCTAATGCTTTATTTGCTATTAATATAACTATACAAGCTTTTTCTTCTTTAGCAGCTTATTTATTTCCATTGTCTTATTTTCAACCATTCTGTTATATGTGTCTCCTGTAACCAGCACTTGAGGATTTTTTAATTTAATATAATGCTCTTTTAAGAGAATGCAATCTCTTTATTTACTATGTTTATTGATACATTTCTTTATTTCTTCTACTTTACAGTCTACTCACTAAAAATACTTTAACTTTTTAAAATAATAAGCAATTTGTGTATCATAAATATTGCAACATAATTTTTTAAACAAGTTCATTTTATTTTTTTATTTAAATTTATTTATTTACATTCATTCACTGTACATCATTACAGTATACAAAATGAGATTTTCCATCCAGAGTACACTGTATATTGTCTCAATCAAGCACATGTTATTGTCAACAAATAATTTCCCATTTCTTATTTCCTGTATGTTTTGCTTTTTTCCCCCCATCTTTGATTCCCTGTCTCTTACCCTCTGCCCTCTCCCACTCTTCCCACACTGTCTCTGGTATCTATGTTTACTTTCTATACAGTTTCCCCCCATTTTTTTATTGAATTACTAAAGATCTTAATTAAATATTTTCATAGCAAATACAGCTGATATATGCATTTCCATGAACACAAGTCTAACTTTAGGCATCCTATAAAGTATCACCTAGCTGGGGCTATTTATCTTACTACGGTCATCGAATGGATTTTTTTTTCTGAAACTTTTTTTTTTTTTGTAACTTAATTTACATTCTTTCCCTCAGC